TGCCCTTGATTTAAGGAGGTAGTAAGTAAGACTTACTGACTTGCTAACTGACTGAATACGATGACATTTATTACATTTAAAATAACCAAAAAAACAAATGTTAAAGGGGTCATAGAATGCAAAACCGAGTTTACCTTGTCATAAATGAATAACGATAGTTCAGTGGGTGAAATGGACGTACAGAGAAGTTCAAACCCCATCGACACCTCCTTTCTCTGCAAATCTCGCAATTCTACACTTCCACCATAAAACGGGCGAATTCAAACGAGGACCGAGGCCCATGTCCGCTGACTGGACCAGACCGGGCCCCAGTGGGGGACGGAGCGACCGAAGCCCAACTAATGTTACACACCCTATTCAGAGACCTTAAGGACCAGCACCAATTACCCCATATAATCATTCTATGTGTTACTCCTCTAGAGATAATCAAGGCTCAACGTTGTTCTTTTGGTTTTAACAGCCATTTATTGTGGACACGTCTTATAAAGTCCCAAAAAATGCCGTCAGAACTAAGAAGGGAAACAGAACCCAAATTAGCTCAAAACAAATATAAAGCTTCACACAAATAAATATAAGTAAAACAAAGTCATACCTCATTGGCCGTATAAACTCCAGAGGAATAAAGATAACTTATACAGCTTTTCTTAAAAAACCAGTCTTAAAGCTTTCTGGTGAAACTTCTTGAAGAAACGTGCAAAAAAAAGAATTGTGTCAATCAATCTTCCCATGGGCAACAACGTGAAATGCGGAACAAAAAACATAGGTTCCTCCTTACATTTTAATGAGCTTTTTAACCAATGTACACAAACAACATAAATGTACCGAAAGGTATTTATTTATTTATGATTGAACTTTTAATTTCAATATTTGTATTAACTCTCGTTTTTAATTAAGTATTAGAATATTTAAATGAGTTGACTCTGATGGCAGCTACACTATGACCCTTTTAAAAAAGGAAGGAATAAGGACATCGTGCTTTAAAATGATTGATATTATATTTATTTGACAGGCCTGGAAAAAAGAATATCAGCAGCTTTTTCCTGTAGCGGAGGAAGGGATAGATGGTTGTGCCAAACATATTAAATAAATATAACAAAGACTTCCTAAAAAAAACACTTACAGCTAATGGGCCACATCAGACTAATTAAAGACCTAATAACCTTTTCTAAAAAGTGATTACCAAAAAATACAGAGGGTGTCGCAAACTGCTAAACTAGTGAACTAAACATTAAAAAGGCTACGGGCAGAAATGTATAGGGTACCCCAAATGCATAGTCCACATACATTCCACAACATACCTGAAGTTTCTATCATCTAGAGTCAGGCACTAGAGTCAGCACTTGAAAAAAAGGAGGTGTGTAAATCTCAGAGTGATCACAGTGAATTACCACAGAGGGTACTAGAGAAGTTTCTACAAAACTGCCAGCTTGCTTCATCTCCAAATAACAAGGATAGCTCCAAGAGCTCACAATTGGAACTGTAAAATGTGAGAAATACTTGGTCAAATCCGACAAGATTTCTGTATTTAGGTCTAAGTGCTTGAGGTGGCTTTGTACCCAAACCCAACTCATCCTCCATGTCCTGAGCAACTACTGTTGCCAATGGAACCACAGGAGCGGGGCAGGTCACATGACTGCATTCCCTGAGACTATAACTCTTCATCGCATTCACGTGATACACTCAAGTTCTTTTTTCATGCTCAGAAGTATGGATAAAATAGTTGCTCTTACTAATTTGTCGGTCTACAACATATGGACCAGAGAATTTAGTGACTATCGCAGGCAAAATCAGAAAGATCTGATCACCTTGTTGAATAGACCAAGCAACCGCTTTTCTGCCATAGCTCTGGTTTATCTTTACCTGAGAATTGGTGAGAGTGTCTCGTGCTAGGGAGCAAGCATTTTTAAGCTACTATAGTGCTTTGCTACATACTCTGACTGATGTCTGACTGGCTTCTCACAGTCATGTCCCTTTAAAGACTCCTAATGGCCCCCTCACATCACATTCGAAGACCAACTCAACTGGGCTAAAACCCAGGGACTCTTATATTTTTCCCAAGCAGCAAACATGAAGAATGGGAGACTTTCATCCCAATCCCTAGGAGATGTGTGCCAATGCTTACGCAGCATAGACTTTCAGGGTGGTATGGACTAGAGGTGACATGCTGAAAACCAAGCGAGAAGAGAAACTTCTCTTAAGGTTTAGACACAATAGAATTACCAGATTAGGCGAAGGAGATCATCTTGGACTTCAGGAAGAACCGGCCTAACCACGCTCCACTGCTCATCAACAGCTCAGCTGTAGAGGTGGTCAGCAGCACCAAATTCCTGGGGGTGCACATCACAGACACCCTCACCTGGACTGAAACACCACCTCACTGGTCAAAAGGGCACAAAAGCGCATGTGCTTCTTTTGGAGGAGGAGGAGAGCCCATGCCCCCACCCATCCTCCCGACTTCCTACAGAAGCACCATAGAAATCGTTCTGACCAGCTTACTCCCTTTGTGGTGGACTGCA